AGTGGGGCATGAGTTTAAAAGGTCTGGAGGTTATTTGATGATTTGGTGAAGCTACATAAAGAAGTCATGAGGAAATATCTAGAAACTGTTTTGAGATGAGAGCTCTGGAGTCTTTGATCCTTCTCTTGACTCTGTATCAGCTGCCACACTTGATTTGTGATGGGTAGTCATAACAATTTCCCCATGGTGTGCTACCTCTGAGGAGAAATCGCCACAGAGGATTGTGTCTTTGTGTGGGCACATGTATATGACAAAGTTGTCAGATGTATGCATACAGCTGCTTAGTGCACAGTAAAAGTTTAAGAGGTGCATGCTCTGATGTTGGTCAGCACAGTTTGTACCACATAACTGTTCCCCAAAAAGTGGACTTTATTAGAAAATCACAAATACCAACTTGGTGGGAGAATGTGTTTTAAGCGCAATCAAAAGCTGGTCTGGGGATCTCTTTCTTTGTGGCTTTTGTTTTGTTTTTACAGTTATGGTAAGAGTAATTAGGTCAGTACATATGATTTGTTTAAATGTTTTCTATTTAGGAAAGATGAAGCTTCTGAAATTAGACTTGATTCTCAAAGAATGTAGTAATGATAAATTAAACTCATGCTGTTGGTGACTAGTGTCGTTCATGATTAATTATCTCTCATATTCTTACTCTGGACTTCTCTTTTAGGAAACTTTGCTTAGTTGTTGTACTTGTTGTAAACTCTTGGGTCAGTAGTATTCTTAAGCTTTTGTTTGAGAGGTAACCTCATGCACAGAATTCACAGAATCACAAGTTTGGAAGAGACCTTAAAGATCATAGCGTTCAACCCATGCCCCAACACCTCAACTAAACCATGGCATTAAGTGCCATATCCAGTCTTTGTTTAAACACATCCAAGGATGGCAACTCCACCACCTCCTCGGGCAGACCATTCCAGAGCTTTGTCACCCTTTCTGTAAAAAACTTTTCCCTAATATCCAACCTATATTGGAATGCATCAGCCTTGATGCAGCTTGAGACTGTGTCCTCTGGTTCTGTCAGCTGCTGCCTGATTAAAGAGACCAACCCCTACCTGACTACAATCACCTTTCAGGAAGTTGTAGAGAGTGATAAGGTCATGCTTATAATGGTTTTAGTTACCAGCTTTGAGTCAGATTACTAATTCAGGGAAGCATCCTAGGTCTTTTTTCCCCTGAAGAGATTCTGCTTTTAATTTTTTTATAAAATGAAATTTTTTACTAAGTTATAGTAAAAACTGTTGATGTTCTTACATAATATATATACTTCCATATTCCCCTCTTCAATTCTGACCAAGTCTTTCCCATGGAAGTGAGAATTATTGCTTTCTGTCTTCACAGAAATTGCTCCCCAAATGATAGTTGTGTGCACAGCATATCATATGGGAGATGAAGGATTATATAGCTGATATTTAAAATGTATCTTTTTTGTTATAGGGAATGAAAGCAATACATTGTGTACCATGATTAATCTTTTCAATACAGGGCTAAGTAACAGGTTCCAGTCAGATCTAGTGATTATTTTAAGTGTTTGCAGCCTAACTAGGATGAGCATGATTTTTTACTTGGTCGGGCTCTTGTAGGATGTATATTTCTTTTGGTGTCCTTTGCTGTTGTGCATTTGGGATTGAAACGTTGCTTATGGCTGAACATCAGGGCCCACCACAGTCTTCCTTTTCCTTTTGTTTAAAATTTCAGGTGTAAACACCATTAGGAAATGCCTGAAAATGTGGTCAGAGTGCAGGTCTAGGGCTTGACAGCAGGAAGGTATCACCTGCAGGTAATGGGAAGCAGACTTCGCCAGCCACCATCTCTGACTAATGTCTGAGGAGTCATGAACCCATCAGTGGGAGCAACTGGAGTCTCTCACATCTCTTCCTTTCATCTCCTGCTCTCACTCTACCACTCCAGAAAGCCAGTTTGACCAACATAAACTATTCTATATTTGATGTAGAAAATGCTAATGATTTTTGAGTCTGAACTGTGAGAGAAGAACTGTGTACACAAGTGGTGTCCAGCTTACCAGATCCTTGCCTGCAAATCTAGAGTGGTCTTTTCATCCTGAGAACAGGCCTACCCACAATTGGTTAATGGGCTAACCTGGTGATTAACCTCTTGGTAATGTTGCTGAATTGCTCAGTAGAGGTGGATTGCACTCCATTCTAGCATATGGATATAAGCAAAGTTTCTTTGCTTATATTTGTTCAGGAAGAAACATTCAAAGTGTGACCGAACCCCAGTTTTTGAAATTTGTTACATTTTGATTTGTTTGCTATTTACACAGCTTCCCAATTATCAGCTACTTGCAGGGTTGAGGAGCACTAAAATTATGCTAAGATGGTTTTTGAGCTCTGTAGACTACCTCTATCACCAGGGGGTCTTTGGGCCTTCCTAGGTTTTGGTTGCAGATGATCTTTTATCTTTAGATTAAATGGATGATCAAATTGCACCTCCAGCATCTCTGCAGAAGTATGAGGGGCACAGAGAGGTTTGTGCCAGGCTATCTATTCAAGGATAACTTTCATTTTTATAGTCCCTGAAATTTTTTAAATGATGTTTTCACAACTTTTCTTTCTAGAGCTTTCAGCCTGCAAGATTCCTTTATGCCCTAATTAGCTTTACTGTTTATATTACTCTCATTCTCTAATTAGAGTAATCGCATCATGGGGGAGTTGAGGCTCTTCTGCTTTTTCTCTAATTATTTTTGTTTTGTCAAGCCTGGCTGTTTCCTGCTGCTTATTCTTGTCCATGTGTTTTTATTCTCTGCAAATTGCTGTTGTCGTGTACTAATTGTTTTTACTTTATCTGAAGACCTTTTCCTTTTTTTTTCTGTCTTTGTCATTCTTGGCCATCTGTTCAGCTCCATAGTTCCATTTGAAAGTGACAGGACCTATACGAGCAAGTGGGGATAACAAAGTGTAAGAAGAAAGTGAAGGTGATATGTTTAATTAGCATTCTGGATTCTTCACCTCAGGTTCTGTCACTTAAGCCATCTTTCACCTGACCTTCATACTCCTTTTCTTGTTGCCATTCCTGTGGTTGCTTTGCCCTTCAGCACTTTTTGCAAACTGGTCATTCACAATAGTGGTGAAGAGCTGCTGAGGTGTGGCTTGTCAGTGGGACATACATATGCCTGTGTAACATAAAGCAATGTTGGTGTCAACCCCTAACAATTAGAAGAAAATGGAAGTTTTTATAGAAAGTGTCTGGTTACTAGTCTCAAATTTTACACATTCCAGGAGGAAAAGAACAAAAGGAAGTGCAGAAAGGCAAATAGTGTGCACAAGGTGAGGGAAGATCAGAACAGCATATATTATGTATCATTTGAAGCCTTTTTTTCCTGTGGAACATCTGACATTGTTGTGTTTAAAAGCAGAAATAGTAAGTGGTCTTTTCATCAGTCAAATTTCTGAACTCACACATTCAAAGTCCACCATCAGAATTGTTATAAATTTACCTGATTTGGATGCAGACTTTGAGTATAGTGGGATGTTGGGATTAGCCAGAAGTGTATCAGCAATGCATGTGAGTGCACATTTAAAGTCCTGATAGTGTTCCTGCTATACCTATGGGCTCCATTTTGTAAAAGCTCTAGGTAGCTTTTTACATTGAAAGCTATGATGAGATTGGAAGAGTAGTTACTTCAAAATAACAGTTTCTCCAATTAGACTTTCTTCTGTGTGAAATATATTCTCCTGCTTAAAAAAGGAAGCACTTTGATAGCTACAGATTATGCAATCATCTCTTCACAGATGAAGTGTCAGTGCAATGTAGCACCTGAGTTGTAATCTGCCAAACTTTTTACGTGAGATATTGGGTAATAGAATCTCTCTAACTCTTTCACTTTCTTCAGCTGATACTGAAAATATGTGACTTACAGCAGAGTTTGAATGAGTGTTGTGGTCATTCAAGACTGAAATAACCATATCCAATTGCTCTGCACCTAGCACATCTTCTGACTGAAAACACTACTGAACAAACAAGCCAAAGCAGTACTTGGAGGTTTTAATTTTACAAACTCAAAGTTGAGACACAGATCTACAAATTGCAAGAAACTTCATAGTGTTATAAATTCAAATACGCAAAACCTTCTTTTTGAGCTGTTCTTATAATTAGAGGACTGAATAACTAGTCACTGTTGTGTATTTATTTAGAAGTCAATGATTTTATAATTTCTTTCCCCTCACAGTCCAGCAATAGTGGAAGAAATTTTGGGTTTCCTCTAAATGTATTGAGATCTGCATTTTGACTGTATGTCTAGCATATTTCTTTGAAACTTTCTGGTGGTGGGAGGTTGCAATTTTGAATGGAATAAATCTGAGTGTACCTGAATAATGTTGATTTTGATAGGAAATTTCTCTGGAAGAGCCTGGTCATGGGAACATGTTCTAGAATGGCTCAATTATTTAGTCTCTACCAGAAGTCTGCCTCAAAGCCAGACCTCTGTGACTGTCATTGATTGTCTTCAGCTGCTTCTTAAGTTTGGGGATTTATACTTCAGCAAAAAAGGTCCTTCACAATGCTAAGCTGCAATATGGCATGAAGTAGCTTACACTGTTTAATTATCTGCAACACCAGGACCAAGACTTGACAGAAACCATTTGGAAGGGACTGTGCTGCAGAAATTAAGTACATGTATTCAGGTTTTCTTTCCTAATACCAAGAGTACCAAGGTTGCTGTAGAGATTTGATATAGAGATTTGTAGATGGTGACCCATGTCTCAAATAGCATTTATTATAATAAATAAATAAGTTCTTCTATTATCTCATATTTTTATGAAGTATGCTAGTGTAAACTTATATGAATGAGTCCCCTGTGAGTATAAGGAGGTAACTACCATGACTAGTTCAAACTTAATGAATGAAAACCCTAATTTAGGTCAACACCATTCTTAAAGAATATTTAACTAATTAGATGGGCTTGTAGCAAAATATTCTGTAGATCTTTAGTGAATCATTTTGCTGCAGACTTACTATTCTGGTTTTTTTTTCTCCCTCCAAAGATATCACTTCAATTTTTCAAAATTATTCAGCTCAAGGTCAAAAAACACTGTTTTTACAGAGAAGACACCATTACTGAAGGTTTCCTCAGAGGAAAGTGGGTGAGTTACTTTCATTTTTCTCAAAATATTTTTTTCCTAAGTTATCTTCTATTTAGTTGCATGTGGTTCTTTCTTATATCCTAACACCAAACCTGCTGGGAAATAAAGGGAATAGCTGGGACTGTAAGCAGAGAATTACTCTGGAGGACCTTGGTATCAGAGAAGGGGCTGAAAAAAGGGAAGGGAAGGATGTAAGGTGTGAGGTCAGGGTCATTAGAGAGCCCTAAGCATAGGCACCTGTAGGTTCTGTGCTCTTATTTCCTCCATGGGCTGTTACATAAGTGCACTGAAAGACACAGCAGAACTATAGGGAGGGTCCTCACGATGGAGCTTGCACACCAAATACATCCTGAAATAATCTGCCTGGTGTGTCAGAGAACTTGCACTCTCAGGTGCATCTAAATGTCATGGGGTCTTTGCTCTTGCTCCCCAGACTTCTCAGCTGTGTCACCAAGGGAACCTTGGTCTGTACTGAATAAATATTTTTCTATGAATTTTTCCATAAATATCTCTCAGAGTGAACGTAAGGTTCTGCAAGGTCAGTTGCATCTACTACCTGTTGAAATAAAACACTGTTTTGTTTTATTATGTTTACTGAAAATGTGTGACAGGTTGCAGTGTATGGCTCTTCATAATCCAGATTTTACCACAGATGATGATTCATGGGACAACAGCTCTGCAGAATTTGAGCAAAGGTTTCAACTGGAAAGTGAAATGACAAGTTTTCCCAGATCTGCTTCTTCTGAGAAATATGAAATCTTGGACAGCCTTCATGTCAAGTTCAATTTATCAAAGATGAGGTCTGAATTCAAACATTATTTTTTTTAAATTTCTGCATGTATTTGTTTTTATGCATAGATATCTAGAAAATTGTTTTATGTAAATTAATATAATAGGATTCCATATTTAGACTGTATCTAGTTTGAAACTGATTATGGAGTCTCCATAATGATCAATAGCCCCTTCTAAGAAGAATCAATCATTTACCTATTTTAAATTTGTAATTAAATACCTTCTATACTGCTTTTAATATTTCTCTGAAACCATTTTTTAAAAGACCTGTGGTTGATTCCACAGCATTTTTTTCTTCAGTGTTTTGTTGCTTCACTTTAATTTAAATATGTGTGTAAAAGTTCTTCTGTAGTCATTACAGTAGCTTTTCACATATGCACAAAGCAAAATATAACTGAGCATTTTTCCATCTTGGACAACATTAATATATTTCATTCTTTACCCCAAAGTAGTCATTTAGGGCTATGACTGGAGGAAATTGAACCTGTTAATATATTAAAAGATAGCAATATGATAAGAGCATGACTTCAGATTTTCTTGGGATATTTTTGCTGGGGGCTTAACTAGCAGAGCCTTTAATCTTGTATACTAATTCCCTCTGCCCCCTCTAGAGGTTCAATGCTTTTTCTAGTTTGTTTTGGTGTCTGTAGGTAGCTCTGCAGGGTTTTCATGGAGCCCAGCACTGCAGGTCTGCATCTCCTTGTTGATTTGCTGCACCTTTCCAGCAGAATGTCAGTGTGTCTTTTCTGTCTTTTCCCAATCTGTTGTTGTTTTAGCTCATCACTTCACAATTGTTTTCTTCTCATTGTGCATATGGTTTTGTGCTCTCCCACTTTGCTGCTGAACAAATGGAGCAGGAGAATTCCAATGACTGCAATTAGTGCAATGTGAGCACATGCAAAGAAATTTGGCAGGTGTTTTTCTTCACATTTGTGGTAGATTTCCCTGGTATTTGATGGAACAAAGGTATCAATTGGGAGTGTGAAATCTATTGTTTCCAGTACACCATAGGTTTATAATCTGGAGAGGAGCAAGTTTTTCTGGCAGAAGCTCCCTTGAAATATTTTCACTGCTATAGTGCAAGCTGTACATATGGGATCAGCTCCTTGGCTGTTGTAAATTAGCACAGCACTGCTGAGATAACAAATGATGCTAAACTGCCCAACACCATATGCAGATCAGATCAAAAATCATTTGGCTTAGAAGAGAGGGTGAAATTCTTCATAGATTTATACTCCGTGCATTTCCAACTGAAGTCAGATAGGATTGTACTGGAGGCATATATCAGCATAGGATTTGGCACAGGGTTTGTACTTGCATCACTGTGCCAGATTAGCACTGTAGGAAGAGACAGATTGTGAACCATGGGTGAGTCCAAAGCTGATCATGTCTCAAATGTAAGCTGTTAAAAATGCTGCTTCCCTAATACAAAATGTCATGAAAACAAACAGACAGGAGGAAAAGACCCTTCTAAATGCTGTATTTATTAAAACCATTTCCAAAACCTTGTTTTTATTACATCTTGCCAGCTCCTTTGGATGAGTTTCTGTTATTTACAAACAACTGGTTATTAATTCATAAATACTTAATTAATATTTTATTTCACTTGTGTCTTAAAATCAAAAGGTTTTTAATAATAACTTTTTTATCATAAATTGTAAGTCCAAAGTGCAAAAAAAAAAGTACATAAAAATTAAACTAGTCTGGATTAAAATTTATTAATTCATAACCTAATAAATTTCAAAATTCCAGAAGGAAACTGTAATGTAAAGATGGACAGAATTGACCAGCAGGATAGAGAATCTATGACTAAACTGTCACTATTTTCCATAAATCACATAATACCAAAAGACATTATCAGTGATGAAGTGCTTATAAATGGCTTGTCATCATTCCTTTCTTTTCACGTCTGTATCACTTTCTTCCTCTCTCTACCATCAGTAGATCAGGACTACTTGGAATTTCTAGAAGAAACCACCTAACTGGCTTCCTTCTCCTCTTCCTCCTTCTCTAGATTTTCATGCTGTGCAAAGTTTGGGTAAAGTTGTTACTACTTGTTTTAAATAGGGGACTTTAGCCCCTTTGTACCAGTTTGTGACAAGACATTTTTATTAGCTGCTGGTTTTTATTAGCTGCTGTTTGGACAATTCTAGAGAGGGGGGAAACTTTGGAAAACAATGTTTTTGAAAAATGGGTCTCCAGTAATTTCTGTTGCTTTTTGTCAATGAATTGATTTAGGGAATTATTTCCACTGTGATTAAAAATTATTTCTAACATTCTTCAGACTATTCTGCTTTAATATTTTGTCCTGTAGCATATGTCAATGAAGCTTTTTATTGCACTCTTTGTTTTTCAACTAATTATCCTGGTAACTTGAAATGTTTTCCTTCTTGCTTGTCATCAGGTTTAAATCAAGTCCTGCATTTGTCATTCTGTCAGAAAACCAAATGGAATAAGAATATTGATGCTTTCAAAATGAAAATATGTAACGAGGTCAAACCTACATAAAGGCTTCTGTAAATTATGGCATCAGTATAACATATTGATGGGCAGTCAGAAAATTTTTAGTTGTCTTTTTAGTAAGATTAAAAAATAGTAATTTAAAATGTTAAATCTTAAGATTTCTTTCTCAAGACCATGCATCTTCAATATCCACATTTTAATTTAGAGTTATTCTTGCCTAACCCACTCAGTAGTAAGCGTGAACAATTCAGAATATTTTGTGGCATCTCATTTCCAGAACAAGGCATTCCTTCAATGGGCACAGGCATGCCATGGGGAAAAAAAAAAATCAGTTTTGTTAGTAGATTTATACTCATGAAGTATATGTGGTTTTAAAAGATACTGCTAAACCCAGAAGATTCTTAAATCTTGTTCTTGTCTTCAAACTGCATTTCCTAATACTTTTCAGGGTGTGTATTATAAGTCCAGTTTTGAGGAAGTCTCTCATGACACCATCTGTCTATGCAACAACCTGTGTTCTCAGCACAACCATGCCACCTCCCTGTGATAGCAATGCTCCTTTGCCTCTCTGGGAGAGACAAGAATCACCTGAGGGGGATTAGGGTCTCCCAGGGGCCAGCAGCAGTAGTGGACAAGTAGTTCCAGGATCCAGCACCAGCTCATTCTGCAGCCTTCCCTTAGATTTTCCAAGGGGCAAATCCTCCTTCCTGTGCACTGAGATCCATCTGTGAGCAGAGCTGGTGCAGGAGCCCTGATGGTCACCAAGGCTTCCTAAACCCTTGCTGACCTTGCTTTGTGGTGTCTGCACTCTGATGTGATGTACTATCACCCATAAGTGCTTACCATGATGTTTCTGAAATGTCAGAGCTGTTAAGAGAATAGGAAAGGTTGTTCTTAAACTAGCCAGATAGTAAATATGTGTTTCCTTGTGTTTCAGATGCTGCCTAAAATTCCTGAAAGTTTCAGGTCTCTTTATCTTCGTAGTTGTCTGCTCTGTAAGTATTGAATTTTTAGTCTTCCCCTGGCCCCCATTTCTTTAGAATTAGTTCAAAATGAGCTATGATATTTTCTCTTAGCACACAGAAAATGTCTTGAGGCAAAAACTGACAATACTGTACAGGGCTTCATGCCTAGTCATAGTAGTATTTGGTTCACTTGTCACCTCTCAGAACAATGTGGTTGGGTAAGCAGTTGATTTGGAGGGAGAAGCAGCTTAAGCCCAAATTTGTAGGTCCCTTAAGGATGCTTTTTGAATTCAGGATGGATCTTTTGATCCTGACACCTGAGGAATGCTCACAGGGAAAGCTGTGCTTGGGAGGATGCTGCAGCAATGACAGCACTTCACAGTGTCAAAGGCAGAAGTTGATGGGGAGATTGGCATCTCCTTCAGGTGGCCAAAGTGCTGCCTCCCTTAGCAAAATCTTCAAATTCAGCAAAATCTTCAAATGAAAGTCTAGAGAAAAATTTTAAAAAGCTGGAGTTTATTTTTTTAGTGGCTGTGAGGAATTCCTTTTTGGGGTAGCAGGGCTTCTGTGCCAGGAAGAAAATAGATGACACTCTGCATTTCCTCAGGTGTGGGTGCTGCTTTCTAGACAGATCCTGAAGGTTGACCTAGGAGACATTTTGAGAAAGTGCATAAATATGGGACTTTGACTGTAAATTAACTGGAGAACTACTTACCCTTGTTAAGTATCCCAGAGATGCTTTTCAACTGTGGTGGAATTATACTTAAAAATACTGAAACAATCTCACAACTGAATATGCAGTGTCTTTTTAAAGTACTTGAGATAAGTTTAGCAGGTCTTTGGCAGTTTTTTTTGTTACTAATGAATGTTTATTCTTTATCCTTGCCCTAGATTTTATTTGGCATTTATCCAGATCAAGGTACGCCCTGGCAGATGTTGGCTGTATCACCTCTGGAAAGCTTCTGTATCCTTCTTTCATTGGAAAAAAAGGGATCTGATGTTTCATTGATAAAGCAGTTGAAAGGGTGTGTATTTTCTGTCTTGCACCCTGAGAGGACAGGGTGATCTCAGAGCCTTGGCTGCATTTGGACTTGTCCTTGACACTGGCCCAAGTACTCCTTCTCCAAGTTGTACTGAATGGCACCTGTCTGGGGCCAAACAACTGTTTAGAAGAAGAAGCAATAGAACAACCCCAAATAAAAATTAGTCATCATAGGTCAATACAGATCTGAATGTGAAAAGTCTTTGAGGCTTGAACATTCAGTTAGTAAACAAACAAAAACTTTTGCAAATTAGTTACATTTATTCTTCCCACTATATTTCTAGTTAAATCAGTCTGATAGAAATCTTCTTGGCTCTTATTTCACTAGTGTTAAGAGAAGATGCACCTATAGATACATTTCACAAGCTCCTGCAAGGTCCCTTGTTTTGAAAAGGTGCAGTAGGTTTTTATTTTTGAGATGCTCTGTTCTTCTGTATAACTGGTCAGCTCCATAGCTTTGGGCAGGAAGAGCCCATTTTAAATAGATTTAATTATTAGCATTCTCACTGTCACCAATAATGACACTATATAATGCACTAATTAGTAGGATAAATAAGGAAGAAAATGTTAGTGCTTTAGGGCAGTTTATAATTAAGAGTTGAGACTGCTTTTTGGAAGGAAGCAGATGGACTTTTAGTGGGACAAATGACAACTTCAGCTGTAACCTCCTGTTCACATCAGTGTTTTTGGTCCTTCTTGAAACTGTTGTTGAAAGTTCCTATGGGGGTGTAGTGTTGAACAGCACCATGGCTGTCACAGCCTTATCTGCCAAAAGAGAATGAATTCAAAGAGGGTCTTTAAGCTCAAGTTTTAGTCAACTGTCATAGCATAAATTGGAGATTTCCTCCCTTTTCAGATTTGGGTTGGACCCATAGCTGTTGCATTGTACAAATTAGCTCTGCAACCAAATATTCCCTTTGTTTCAGGGAACTGCATTTGGGACTGGGATTTTAGACAAACAGATGTTCCTGTATTTTGCATTTTACCTATCATGTCAGGACACTTTGAGACAAATAGCTGTCAGACAGAATATAGCATTTCCATTTCTTACTTAACAAACCCAAAGCTGGAGTGTTTTAGTTTGTGTAATGTGTCTTGAAAACTAGATATTCTGTCTGCTGTCTGATGTCACTGAGCTGGGGAAAAGTGAAAGGCAAGCAATCCAGGAAAGACAAGCTTCTTTTTCAAGATGATATAGTAATTCAAGCAGAAGAGTCAAGGAGAAAGATTGCCTTTCTAAAAGAATTTCGTAAAAGGCACCAGCCACCCTGAATGTCCTCCTACTGTCACTGTCAGTCTCCATTTGCCCAGCAGTAAGTTAGTGTGCTTGTCTTCCCCTTTATTGCATAGTGAAGAAAGGATTCCCCTTCTTGGCTAGGCCTAGGTAATGTTGACCATTCAGCCAGCAGTGCTGAAGATGCAATTTATGCTGGCTGACAGATTGCAGTACTCCCAATGGACACTATGGGCTACTCTCTGAATGACCACAAGATTTTAATGGTAGGTTTGCAGGTGTGCTGCAGCAGTCCTTGCCACAAAGCCCTTGGAGGTTATAATCTGAGACTTTGGGTGGAAAATAAGTATCTTAGCTCATACGATGCCAAAATTGCAAATGAGCACACGTTACCTCTTGCTTCTGCTTCAAAAGCTGTTTAGAAGTATTGAATAGGTACTAACCACTTTTTTTTTTTGAGCTCCTTCCTCACAGTTGTTTATTTCCAGAAATGCCCAAGTACACTGTTGTGAGTGTCTGCTCACATATGCAGTGTATCTCCATACACTCGAAAAGACAAAACAAAGTGTGAAATAGTTTTAAAAAACAAATTGAGTGATTACTTTTGGACTTCATGTCCTTTGTCATCCTAGTGTCACCTGGATTTTTTTGTTTTTTCTGCCATGCCCATGAAATCTCAGGTTTGCTTAGGGGCAGGACTTTCCTTCTCTGGTGCTGGGAGAGGCCTTCATTAGCTGGTGTGGAGGTGACCTGCTTTTCCAATGAGATCTCTGTTTGTGTTGCTATACCTGTATCTCTGGTTTGGTTTTACTCTAGCAGTTTTTCTTCTCATTACCTTCTTTATTATTAGCACGCACGTATCTCCCATGGCTTTGTCCATCCCCATGGGTACAAATGTAACACAGAGGTGTGCTGGCTGCAGATTCTGGAAACAACATCTTGCCCCCTGTGAATTAATAGAAGTTTTCTGAGTCTGTAATTTTGTGTGTGGTTGGTTTTTTTTTTTTTTTTAATACTGATTTCTGCATCGGCACCAGGCACAAATTCAATGATTTTAGTATAGCTTTTCAAAATATTGGTAATATCTTTCTTTGAACATAAATTCTTGGGATTTATTAGTTTTTAAATTCTAACAGTCAACTCTATAATACCAGAAAGAAGGAAGTTTATACTGGAGCCTGACTTGAGGACCCTTTCTGCAGGAAGCGAGATTCAATGTCACTGTTGATGTAAAATGTGTGAAGCATTTTCAGATCTTTTGTTCAAAGGCTGTATGTTAAGGGGAGAACATTTTTAGTTATTAAGATGATAGAAGAAGAGATGCAGAGTCTGAATAAATTTCAGCATTTCTTTGTTTAATTACATGTACCTATTCTAAGACATGAACATTCTTATTTTTTCTTAACTCTTTGGCCATTCAAACCTTCAGGAAGTGTCTCTCCATTAACTGGGTGATCAAAGAGTGAATAAGAAATATTCTTCACAACTTACATACATTTTCAGACTTGAAAATTTTTCTGAAGTATTAAATATACTTTGTGTTCATTATTTTGTTTCTAAAAACTACTGCCCTAATCTAAGCAAATTTTAAGCTTTTGTCCAGCAATAGGGAATGGACAACTGGACCAGAACTAGACACTCACTTTTTGACTTGAACTAGGTTTTATGAAATTAAAAAGTAATTGAGAGTCATCATGCTTTTAAGGAATTATGCAAACTGTATGCTATTTCACTGTAATTTAGAGAAATGTCTGTCTCCCTGATGCAGTGCCTTCTTTCTTTAACTGTATCTCACACAGTTATAGCTATGCCTACACTTCTCAATAGTAGAAATATTTTGGTTTTCAAAAAATGGTTAAGTCTTCAGCTCATTTCTGTGCAATGGATCTCACACCTACCTCACTGAAGTGTGAGTTTCTAGCTTTATTCTCTCCCTCAGTAACAACCTTTTCTTCCTCTCAACATTTGTACTTGCACCCAGTCATGTTATAGGTGAGGAAAGGTTAGATCAGTGTGAGCAAAGCAATTTCATTTTGCTTTTTTGGACTGATTGTCAGAAATTACCTGGAGAGTGGGCTGTAAATTATTCCTGAGTCTGGCCAAGGATGTTGCATTTTTGTAAATATGTTTTAAAGTCTTTCAGTCCTGATCTGATTATCTGATTGTTTAGGTATTTGTTATCTCCCCAGTTAAATTTTTTGAACAAAGGATGACATTTTGAAAATTATATATTTTCACAGCACCTAGCATTGAGGATTTCTTACTCACTTGCTCTTTATGTTCAAAATAAAACTCAATAAAAGTACATAACCTGAAGTCACATCTGAATGTGTATCTGCTTATTCCAAATCAGACAAAACCAGAGATATCAAACTGACTAGACAGGGGCCATTTTCATAGATGTATTTCCATTCTCTCCATGAGAGATTTTATCACTTCCAGTCCAGGAATAACGTCTCAAATTTAGAAAGTAGGAGATGTATCTCAATAGTAAAAATCTGTTGAATTTTAAATCATAGGCTAGATTTCTCTTTTCTTTGGATTCAGTGGAACTATTTAGAACAATTCCACATATGGATGAGGAATCTCTAGGACAAACGGACTTAAGACTCCTTATTATCGAATTCCTTGCTGAGGTTGTATGAGTTTGAATGATTTCTTAATGAATTTGTGTTATTGGTGCGACTGTTGGAGCAAGGGTAGGTCACTAGAAAACTTGCAATCATACCATGACCATTAGTGACACGGAAAACAACATTTCCCACTCCTGTCCTAGAGGTGTATATATAGGAAGAAGGATTGTGAGGCAAAGAATATAGCTATATTTTAGCAGAATTTTCAGCTTCCTTGAAGGTTCTTCTCCAGGGAGCAAAAATTAATGTAATTAATTACAAAACCTCTCTAATCCCTTTAATTCTTTTCCTCCTCTGAATATTTTCTTATTTTATAACTCTAGTTCTCTGCTGGGGGACTCTCCTCCATAATTTTTCCTTGCAGAAAGCATTTAAAAGTTGTTTCTGTTTTTGATGTTGTTGGAAATGTACAAAGCATTTAGGCCTGCAGGCAATGTTCAAGCTGTTAAATAGATGGATGAAGACCAGGACCACGTGCAGAGGCAGCTAAGAAACAGAATCTCAAGACATAATTGATAAAATGCTGTAGAAATTGGTTTGTTACAGAACTTCTCAAACTGATGGAGCAGAGAGAAAGGATGTAGCCACTGTAGACAATAATGGATCTGGATAGCTCACACTCAAAAAAGGAGGAAAATAAAAAGTTCTTAGAGCATTCATCAGATGGGGAAGCCAATAGGGACAGAGAAGTGTGTGGTTTAACTTGTTACGTTATGAAGGGATGATGTAGAAAAATCCTCACCAGAGATAAGAGCAGGGATAGGAAATGAAAAAAAGAAAAGCACAAATACCAATGCAGAAATAACACCAGTTAAGGACAATGCAAAAATGGATCCAGGGAAATGGCCTGCTTTAAAATGGTGTTATCCTAGAGAAACTAGCATAAGTGACCTGGTCATAAATCAGGATAAATGGTGTATAACTACCTCAGAAACTTGAAAAGTAATCCATAGACATAGCATTCTCAAGGTCTATTCTACAGTATGCAGAATAGGATATACAAATAGATATTAAAGAAAGAATAAAGTCAGCCATCTGTGTGCAAATATAACAGAGAATCTCTGTCAAACAGAGCTTTTTGCCTGCCCCTGTACACTTGGAAGTAATTACATGATGGAGGGTAGAGCAGGGGCTTGGTATTTTGGGGACTGACTCAGCTACTCCTGAGTTAGTCATCCTAGGCTCTCTTTACAGTTAATAGAGTGAATGGATGTTCCTCGTGAGCAGTTATTCTGATCTTCATGTGGTAGTCCAAAATCAAGCCATGAATTCCATCTTACAAGCACCCTTTCATCACTGATTTTAGGGAAGCAACCATCAGATGCAGATGTCCAAAGTACAGAAGCAGGACCTGTGGTGAATGAATACCAGTTTAAATGTTCAGCCACTGCATCCCATTCCATCATGTTGTCTATATAAGCCACATAAAAATAAAGTAACATGAGGTGACTGTCACACACTCCTCAAAACCTCTTTGGAAAACCAGGATCAGGAAACACAGCTCTTGGTTCAGATGGGAGCAGCAGACCTGCTCTGGTGCCAGGTGTAAATACAGACAGCCACAGTGTAATGCTTCACAGAGCAAACATAAACCCAAATCCCTTGACGGGCTAATTCACAGCAATAATGTGATTTCAAGAATAGAACTATATCAAAATGAAGCAGTTTAGCTGAAGTGAAATAAAAAATATCAGCTCTGTCTGTAAATCTCCCCAGGGAGATTTTTGCTTTAAAGGGGCACAGTGGAGGATGCATTACAAAAGAAAAGTTCAGGAAAGGAAAAACATACTTAAATTGCAGAATAAAAAGGAATATTAGAAGTAAAAAGAGAGTTTTCCCAAAAGTTGTCCATATCTGAATGATTAAAATTCAGAGGAGATCACATTCTGGCAATTCAAAGGAAATATAAAAACAAGGTAAGGCAGAACAAAAATATTCTGAAGTTCAACTTGATTAAAAAATCATATTTTTTTCATGTAAGCATGTCTGAAGTTTTCTTCTGGTTTATTATGATTCCACCTTTCATAAAGGCTGTGATCTGCTGCAGTGTAACAATGGAATTATGACAGAGTCCCTAAATATTGTTTGGAAAAAGGTAACTCTGATGGGTTTTAAGAGCCTCAATGCAGACTGGTGAATGTTGTTCTGTTGCACTTGCAATCAAAGGAGAGCCCCTCTCCCTTTTTTTTCCTATGGCTCTTTATAATGGTTTTATAAGTGCATAGAATGGAATGGAAAAAGTATCCTTATCTGTAGAGGAAAAAAAGAAAGGAGCCACTCTTCTTGAAAATAAGGTTTAATTTTAGACATCCTTTCTAATAGCTCCTGAATGTGTCATCTAGGTAATTACAGGATTTATTTTAAAAGTATTGCTTAAAAGGAAGCTGCCATAATTATATGCACCTGAAGCTTTTTAAGACATAACTGGCTACATGCCTAGTGAAAAACTGACTATTAAAAGTTGTCCCAAATTGTAGGGTTAATGACTTCAGGTGAGCAGACCTTCTAGAAGGTTTAATTAATGTCTCTAGTTAAATGTATGGGTATAGGTCCTATTGAGACTCCTATTATATATCAACTAGTGACACAGAAAAACTGTCATGCCAAATTTTATTTAAAACTTTCAGAAACACAAGAGAACTGTTGTCATTTCTGTTTGTGTTTGCTAAGGTTTGTGAGTGTAAATTCTTCAGACTGGACTTGTCTCCTGATTTGTTACATGTGAGATAATTTTTTTATCCTTTCCTGTGTGATTCCTTTAAGCAAAGAGATGCTTGGGAGCTTAATTCTTTAATTAATGGCATGTGAATGTCACTGGTGGTGTTTGCTCAGCTTGCCTTGCCAAGCAGGGTGGCATTTATTTACTTTGAATGCATTGGCTGCCCACCTGGTACCAGACCTAGGGTTTTTTTTTGCTTACTATGAGAGATTACTCTTTTCTAGATCCCAAAGGACCTCATAATCTCCCAAATCTTTCCCCATTAGACACTGACTTAACATGGATGATCTTCCCTGGGGGTCACCGGAAGCAGGACAGAGCACAGCACTGCCCTCTAACTATCCTGAGTTTTTTCTTTTCCTGTCAAAGTCTCTTAGTTTTGAGGGCTATAAAGCATCTTTTTGGGAAAATTGTTTTGGTGGGTACATGATCTGGTACATTTTACTCTCTCTTTGTAGTATGCTCGATAAAATATTAGATGTTAAAACCATAAGATGTTCAAGCATGTGATTAAGTCTCATGATTTCAATGGAACATGTGTGTGTAAAACTGAGGAGTTATTTTTGTTTGTTAGCTTTTTTTTTTTTTTGTTTTGTTGCTTATGCCTTAGCTTTCTACCTGTCACAGACAGGAGCAAAACAATTACAATATTGCTCCATTACAGTAACAAACAAACTGTGGAGAGTTTAAAAGCTCGGGTTTCCTCCTTCCCTCCCTTCCCCACCCACCAAGCCACAGGGATGCTTTTTTCAACCATGCCAGAAGTGGACTATTACAAATCTAGGTTTTAAAAGACCTAGATATATTCGAACTAATAGAACCAGACTTCCAGTGGATTTGTGGATCATGGCTGGCTGATCTTTCAATTATACTAGACTAGGAATGTAGTTTGATCATATCTTATGTGAGATATCTCAAGAAAAAAGCAGCAGATGAGGGAGCTGAGTGCAATAGAGTCTGTGAGTACTTCAGCTGAAAGGATGCTGAAAATATCTTTCAAGTATTTGTAACATTGTGAGCAAAACTTTGACCTAAAAGCAAATAATCAGGCAAAATCCTCTGAAGTTTCTACATTGTTTTTACCAGTACAAGTTTTGTGATGTTTAAATTTATGAGCTAATGGTGTAGCCTTTCATTAGTACCAGTACTTAAAGAGCCTTACTCCTCTGTCTCTCTCTGTATTTCTGTATGCTATTTTGAAGCTTTGATACATCAGGTAAAAGCCAAAAGTCACTAGGGAAGATATTTGTTCTGAACTTTTAACTCTTGTTTTATTAGGAAACTTGGTCAAAACAGTACCACTTGGTGAGGAAGTAGACATTGGTTTTGTTATTTTCAAAATTTCTGAAATTTAGCTGCAGAATGTATTTTTTCAATATAAATTGACTAATTTTTTTTTTCCTGGAAATTGTACAGCCTACACAGCCTATACTATTTTTAATGGGAATTTGCACCTTAACAACTATATTAATAGCTATGAATCTGACTGACTTTCATGATTCTGCTCTGTTGAAGTTAGATATAGGAGGCCCATTTGGGGCACAAGTTGATGAGCAAACAGAGGAATACATTGTCGTACAAATCAGCCAGAGTGAAGACACAGGATCAAGGAGGAGGCACCAGCAGCAGGTGATAGTCTTTAAATTCTCTTTCACTTTTTCTGAGATGTGTTTTATAATTTATTTCCATCCCCACTGTGTGGATTAAATGGCCATGCTTCTTGCTTCAAAGTGTTTCACTTTCAGCATTAGAAAACTTACTGTAATTAAAGTTGCATTTTCTTTTGCCTTTATAAGGCTTCTCTGGGCTTCCTGCATCAAAATTTTGTTCTCTATATTCAGTGCAAAATGTGTTTTGGCATCTTCCCTCTGGAGGACATCCTGGAGGTGTCCCTCACTTCGTTGATTGAGTATGCGGATGATTTAGTTTGATTAAACCTGAGCACCCATAACAAACCTAATCAGGGAGAACTGATTTAGGCTGATTTTATTCCTGACCCACAAAAAACCACAAAAATTGTCAGAAGAGAGAAAAATAGGAATAAAACCCTCTATCAAAGACATACCACTATCACTGGCTTCTGCTAATATTGCTGAATATGACTCTCTTGCAGGTGGTATACAACTGGTCTCTACCCTTAAGTTCAAGAAGAAATCAGCAGATCTTCACAACTAGAACCTTTCAGATACCAAACAGGTTGGCTAAGAGACTGAAAAATGATGCATTTAAGGAGCAGTTTCCATAGACTTGACTAAGATATTATTTTAAAAATAATTATCACTGCATGTTTCAGAAATGCAGGAAAGGATGACTTCTTGTTGGTCTTTGAAAGTATTTACAAGACTGGTTTGTTCTTGAGTTAATTTCTAAACAATACTTTTTAGAAGGATAGAGTTTGTTTGAAGATATTTAGGAGTTACTTGCTTTTGTAAAGCTATAACAAATATATTAATAAGTACTCAATATAAAATAATGCACAAATAAAACAAAAGGTATTTCATTCCAGGAATAAATGAGACATCTTTTTCTTTCACCAGAGGCACCATCTTTATAAACATTCAAGCTTTCCTTCAGGAGTCTGGAAGTGTTCCTCTCTCCATGAAGCATCAGTACCTTCATGCAAATATAGAGGCACAAGTAACAGTAGCATCCATCATCTTAGTAGGTGTCTACGTGCTGATCATATTGGAAGTAAGTCAGTTTTGTACTTGGATTTTATTTTTTTCCTAAGCTGTAAGTGGAGCACCAGAAGAATTTTCAGTCTTGGGCTTTGATATAATTTTAAAATGTGTATATAACTTCTTCATGCACCATCAGTGTTGCTAATGATATGAATGAGATACATGTGGGGAAATTGTTCTGCATTGGAAGTGATTCTGCCAAGTTCTTTTAATGTTACAGTAATCTTGTATGTTTTTCTATTAGGCTCTATAAGTTTTCTAATATTTCAACAGAATTACAGTTTTGTTGTGAGAGTAAAAATAGGTGAGAATTGCAAAAGGTGTGGAAAATTTGTTTTTAAGTATTGAAGTATTTTATGAGATAAAATAAAAAAAACCATATTGTTATTTACATTCTCTAAGGTACATCAAATTATGAACTTAATGTACTTTCAACAGGTTAAAATGAACATATATTTTAATAAGTGCCTTTTAGGCATTCTTTAACTGTATTATTTGAAGAGGAAATTGAGCTTGAATTAATATGAAGTCAAGGGACCAGGGAACTTTTAACATATATTGCAGCAACATTACAAAACCTTGAGGTACTAAATCAAATAAAAATGCATTGCATCACACTAAGAATGGAAAACATATCATAAATAACACAGGACTCCAACTGAATTCTTTGAAATGAAAACACTGTTATCTTAAAATGAATTGCAAATGGGGAGGAACACTTTTTAAAAAAATTATTTTTAATTCATATGAGCCTCCACACTGTCAATTCTCTGAGTTGAATCAGGCCTGATTTACATTAGTATGAAACTAAGAAATGAATGAAATCAAATCTACGAGGTACTCTGCAGTACATATGTCCAGCATGCTCATTTTCCTTCCACACCCATTGCATATTTTGAGCTTTTCACCCTGTTCCCCATTGAAATGGTAAGGCTGTAAAACTTCACCTAATCAAATACCAATAATGGATGCACACAACACAGCAGATGCTTTAGACATTTAGATTATGTTGTTCAGCAATAATTATTTCTTTCTAAACCTAAAAACGCCTCTGTGTACATTGTAAATGAACAAAGAGACATTATATTAAATGTAGAGGGGGATTGGATTAGATTTTTCTGTAAGTATGTGTAGGCATGCAGCACAGCCCCAAAATAGTCTTAATACTTTTAAATGCAACTTATTTTTTCAAAAAGGCTGAACCAAACAAAATTCCCCACCCCTAAACCCCCAACCCCTACTATGCAACCTTTCAGCAATTGCAAAAACATCAGGTTTTAAATATAAGCGACAGGGGGTTTTGTGTTTGCATCCTGAAAATCTGCTTTGGAAAAATTAATGTGGAAAAGGAAATGAAGACTTGAAACTAAAAAACAGAGCCAATGAAAGCATTAGTTTTCCTGTTACTTTTAGGAAAAAGACTTAAAACAACTCATTAAATTATTTTTTCTGTGAAAATATCAGGGAAAGATTTCTATTGTTGGCTGAAAAATTATTTCTCCAAATTCAAAAGCAGAAATAGGTTCTCATAAGTAAACTTTTTTGAAATTTAGAGTGTGGAAAGCTACATTTTGCATCATAATATTAGTTATTTTCTCCATAGCATCTATAGAAATGACAAATGCTACAACAAGAGTAAATTCTAAACTTTGTTTTCAAGTTCTATGGTTCCCTTGTGGATTTCTTGCAAGCAATGGATGCTAATATTGTTGGAATATGTAATACTGGCTTTCATCATATTCAGTATTTATAACTTCAATGCCTGAAGTCCTGCTTTCTCAACACATTACACTCTCTATCCCTTTAGCTGTTATCACTGTTGGAGAAATCAATGTTACTGCAGAAACTACCTCTTTAATTTTTTAAAGAGATAGATTTTAACTTTTGGTGTTGCTGCTCCCCATCTTTTATCAGTCTTTATTATTTTCCTGTATTTTATTAATTATTATTTGCAATACAGCTTCAAATTCAGTGGACATCCAAACCAGTTTTAGAGCTATATTTTCTTTAAAAATGAAGAAAAAGGAAGCATTTTATATGTTACAAATCACAAGAACCTCTATTTCCTCCAGCACAGCCCTTTTTTCCCAAGTATGAACGGTAAATCTTGCCCACAGCCTCCTCATTCTTACTGTACTCATGTTTTAATCTTTTCTTGCCTTCTCCTCTTGGTCTTTGCTACCTCAGTCACCAGGGACTGTGCAAGAGCTTCTGCAAGAGCTTCTGCTTCCTGCAGATACAGGATGATGGGAGAAGATTGTCAAGTAAGAAGTTCCAGCTGGAAACTGAAGTGCATTTGCTGTAAACAATTGTCTTCTCCAAACTTTGAAGCAGCTGTTTTCCTCCATGTTAGCCTCAAATGTCTAAATTAAGCACCCATCCTAGTCAGTGGAGGTCTCAGGATATGCTATTCTTCACAAAACATGCTGAACTTCATTTCTTCAGGGATTGATTTTCAGTGTTGTTTCTTTTGAAACTGATTCCATGTTATGTATTCATAATACAATACAATAATTCAAATATGTTTCTCATAGAATAAGATGCCCATTTTCCTCTTTAATTTCCAGTGATTTCTAGTTTCAGGCCTAACACAAATATGAATATTCTCTTACTTCACAATTCTGCTACTCTACCTCTGAAATTTTTTATATTGCTTTTGACTTCCTTGATCATGTCTTAGTTTTTTGTTTGGAGTTTATGAGCTATTTTGTTTTTTTTTTTTTTACCTTTATGCAATCATCTGTTCTTTCATTAGATGTTAATTCTCTTGAAAATTATTTTCTTCAAATATCAATCTGTTCCCTCTTAGCATTTCAGTCTCCTATTCCCTTTCCTTGTCCCAAAGGAGAAAAACATTCAGCTTCTTGTAGTGCTTCTGCTTTGATCTAATCTATACCATTTTACAGACTTGTTGAAAACCACAAAGTATTTAATTTTGTTCTTGAAAGCATAAACTACACAGGAAATTAAAAAACTTAATGTTAAAATAGAAAGAAAGGAAGAAAAGAAATAAAGGAAAGAAAGAAAGAAAGAAAGAAAAAGAAAGAGTGGCAGGTTTACTTTTGTTGATCTCAGCTCTTCTGTCTGACCCTTCAGGATTACTGTGGAAACACTGGTTAAAATGGGTTACAAGTATGTTTTCACATTGGTCTACAGAGACATCTGGTGTAAAAGGTGGATGTACAGAGTTCTACACTGATGTTGCTGTCTTAAATCAGTTTACAATGCATTTTCAGACAGGCTTTTTCTATTTTTGATCCTCAAAATGCATATACTCTCTTGACTGTAAACTTGAAAAAAAAATAGAAAATTTAATTTTTATAAACCCCTGCTCCAAACATCTTTTTCTTTCAGCTGAAACTATTTCATCCTTTGCCTTGTTTGATTTCCATAATTTCTTCCAGAAAAGCATTTTCCTATGTGACTAAAGTGATTACTTGTAGCTCATTAACTGAATGATGTATCATTTCTGGTCATAAGGCATGGTCAAGGAAAAGTAGTGCAGATAAAATCTCATTGTTAGCTAAAAGTTAGACAGATTTGTTAGATATCAGAGAAATACAGTTATCTTGTCCCTGTTTTTGTTTAGACAAAATGGGATAATACCCTGGTTATACTAAAGAGAAATCTATCCGCCCATCTATATCATAAAATATCTGTTAAAATATTAAAGTTTTGCTGGTATGCAAAAAAGTTTTTAATTTATAAAGCTCTTATTTGTAATTATTAACTGCATATTTGCAGCTATGTTGAAGCTGCATTAATTAGAAATATGCAAGGAGGAATGCTAGACATCAATTATTAAAGGATAGAGCTCATTAATTGAAACGAATTAATGTGTGCCCTTGTCCAACACTTTTCCCTAATAATATATTTGTTTTGTGTTGTGTGTTAAAATGCAGTGTTAGCTGTTTATGATACTTGAATGAGCAGAAGCAAATGTGAAAGTTAATTGCCTTTTAAAAGCTATTTTGTAAAACATTACATTTAATCAGGAGAAAAGGCAAAATAACATTTATTATACAAAGTTAATTTAAAAAAATTGAAGAAAACATAAGAGATACCAATAACATATGAAATAGCAGAAAAGTGTATAAAAAATAGCAGAAAAGCAAGTATCAGAAATTCTATGAGAGTCTCCATAGGACTTAAAACAAATGATGTTATTGATCTTCATACCCTATCTTGTAATTAGCACTAAGAAAGATCTTGCCAGGATCTTTTAAGTGGCATTTTAATGATCTGACATCTTGAATGACATTTACATATCTGTATTCTTAAAACACAAATACTTGAAAGTGCAAGATCTGGCCTTTAAAGCTTTATTTTCTTACTAACATGAAGTATGGGCTTATAATCACAATTTAAATTACTTTAAGGTAAATGGAATGTGTCAGTTTCTCTCATATTACTTTTTTATTATTAACTAACGTAAATTATGAATAAACATCCCCTAAGCTCAATTTCTTTAACTCATATCAGAGTGATTTTTAATAGCATATAACAAGCAGAAATTAGTTCCAGAGAACTAAAATTTTATGTGATTTTAGTCTGACCATTTTTCTGTCATTTCAGGCTGGTTGAACCAGTGTTTACTGGCAGGAAACATTTTTACAACCGGAATAAGGGGTTATTACTGCAGTGTACACTCACACAGTCCAGATTTTTTATCAAAAAAATTATGCTTTAGAGAGAGAATATGAAAAGAGAAGAAACAGTCCTTGACTATTATGAAGCATAACATTAAATGATAGAAATAGGCTAATCTTAAGGGATATTTTTTTCTGATAAGGAAAGTAACAGAAAATGTGACTGATCACAGAAGTGATCAGCTTAGTCAGCATGGCTTCTGACTTCCCACCCATTCTTGTATTGATCTATCTTTAGATACAGACTGAGAAAAGTGTGGATTAGAATGTTCCCACCTCCACATATGTCCTCCCAAAAGACTGGTAGCAAAGAGCAGAAGAAAATCCATAGCAGTTATTGGAGAAGACCATGTGTAAAAGG